AAAGTGTGCAAATAAATGATCCTTCCATGACACTGTATTCATTAACAAAGCCACAACATTGACATTGCACTCGTCTGCATGTTCTTACAGGAAAGTATATTGCTGCTACACAGCGTCCGGATGGGACATGGAGGAAACCTCGGAGAGTGAAGGACGGATACGTACCCCAGGAGGAGGTACCTGTGTAAGTGTCGTGCATTTCTAAACACACAGCTAGTTGCATGTTGAACCCTGCTTAACAATCGTGACATCTTGTAAATCAGTAATTTAATTTTGTCTGTCGAGTTCTCAAAGCTGACTGGTCAGAAGCTGGTGATTAATCTCCTATAACAGCAGCTCTGGCAGTAGTGCCAGCTGCGATTCAAATCACAGCTTTATATTAATGCGCTCCCTCTACTATGTTATTGTTTCCATAATAACAGCTCATTCATATGGAAGTGTATGATCACATAATCTAAGACTAATAATACACTGGATAAAAACAGGGTGTTATTTAGCAAATAAAAACCATTATTAATTGTTGATATGGAGATGTTAAAGATTTATGGAAGGAGTGACAGTGCTTTGTAACAATCAGTTACAAGTTTTCCACCATAGGATAGTCTTCAGGTTTCGGTACATGAGTTGCAATTTTAATTTTTTGTCTTATTAAGAGACAGAGACACAGAAAGAGGGGGGAAAAAAAGAGGCTGGTAATGTGGGACTGTTTATAGCTGCTTAATGTAAGTGATAACAGGCACTAATTTGTCTGACTGATGTTCCATGACATTAAACACAACTATAAACAGATAAAAAGCATGGCGTGTAGTTAATAAATTTGAAAAAAGTGTTTTTTTTGCAGGAATAAAACATTTCAGGGTGTGCTGTTATTGGGAAATAATCAACCAAGTTATTCGTTGCGTAGTCAGTATTATATTTTCTGGAAATGTAAGATTACATTTTTTTTTTTACTACTACTACAAAAGTCTGTTGCTATCAGGTGAATGTTTACTTATTTTTCTATCTTTTCCCTTCTGCCCATCACCAGCTATGAGAATAAATATGTGAAGTTTTTTAAGAGCAAACCGGATCTCCCTCCTGGAATGAATCCAGAGGATGCAGCTGCAGCCAGGCAGCAGCAGCAGGCAGCAGTGAAAGCGGACAAAGAAGGCGAGATATCCGGCTTGTCCAAAGCAGCCAAACGCAACATGAAACGCAAGGAGAAACGCAAGCAGCAGCAGGCCCAGAATCAACATGAGGCGAACAAGGAGGTGGAGACAGTAACAAAAGAGCTGGAGAAGGTTTCGGTCGCAGCTGAAGAGCAGAACAGCACGAATGCCTCCACAGACCCGTCCGCCGCTACCACGGACAAAGCCAAGAAGATCAAGAACCTGCGGAAGAAGCTGCGCCAAGTGGAGGAGCTGCAGCAGAAAGTGGACTCGGGAGAGCTGCAGAACCCTTCCAAGGATCAGTTGGAAAAATTGGGACGGGCTCAAGCCTTACGGGAGGAGCTGAGGCAGCTGGAGGCGGATTTGTAAAGCAAGATGGTGTATTACAAGCAGAGGGGGCCATGGTGTAGTGTTTTTTTTCTGTATATATATTTTTTCAGAATTTAGGATAGACCTTCATTTATTCCCGTTGGTGTAATTCCAGTTTTGTGAAGCCCCATCCCACAGCCTTGTTCCTTTCTCTTCTGCCAATCTGTGATACAGGGATATTTAAAACAAGCTTATTTTTAAACGTAATAGTGCAGTTAGTGCTCCTCACCCCCACCCATAAAAACAGTACTATTAATTTTTTTGTGTAAAGTTTAGTTACGAATGACACTTATGCACTCCTGCGGGATGGACTTTGCCAAAATGGACTTTGGAATAGCTTAGAGGAGTGAGGAAGCCTTCGTTTTTCTCATTGGGAATTGCGCCTCTGTTTCCTCGTGATGGACATGTCATGGTGGGATTCCTCCGTGATGCTGCGCATTGTTGACACTACCTTATTCCTGATAATACAGACTGACTGAAAGAACGAACTGAACACCAAGCCACTCTGAGGACACAGTGCAAGGACTTGAATGGCTGCAGTTTTTTTCTTGTTTTAACGTTTGTGACTT